AAGGAAGGAAGGGAGGAAAGAAGGAAGGAAAAAAAAGAGGACCCCACCATCCTTCCTGAGAGGGGCCTGGGGTGGGAACTTCATGAACATGTAAATCATCCTTGTAAATGATGCTCACTATGCACTCTGTGATTGAGGCATCCGTGTTGCTTTGGTGTGCACAGCTGCATCTGTCTACTGCCCATGCACAGGGGATGGAGCTGCCCTGCCTCACACTGCCAGTTCCTCTGACTGATCAAAACATACCAGTGTACTGTGAGCTTACGCATTGTAAAACACACACGCAAGATGCCGCTTAATTTCCCAGGGCTTTTCTCACAAATCAAGAGATGTTGGTTTCAGGTTTAAATTATAAAGCAGTTGATTCATTGTGATGAAATTTCGAATTAATGATCTAGCATTCCAGGAATCTGAATGTGTTCTCTCCCAGGATAGACAAATATTGGTAAATAGAAGAAATCATGCTGGGCTTTTGTTTTATTTTGTTTTGTTTTGTTTTGCTCTTGCTTGAGACTTAAATTGTTTGTTTTGAGACAGAATCTCATGTAGCCCAGGCTGACTTTAGCAACTCAAGTGTAACTGAATTTTCCCATCTGACTACTATCCAGGCCCAATCCTTCTTAGCTTCTGTGATCCACCGAGATGCAGTGTGTTTGGGTGGCGTGGTCATAATGGAGTTCTCTCTCTCTGGCCCAGAGCCGCGCAGTTCCAGGAAGCTGGCACTTCCTCCTATAGTGACTGGCAGTCTGCTTTCTCAGCAAACACGTGAGGGAAGAAACTCTGTGATGAAGTTTTTGAGTATACAGGGCTGGGATCCATCCCTGGGTCCCCCCATCCCAGGGCCTCACACATGCTAAGTCAGCCCTCTACCACCAAGCGATGCCCTTAGCTCCCTACAGTTAAGGTTTGACTCCAGTTACTAGGTCAGCATCGAGGTGTGGTGACACACGGCTACAACTCTTTCACTAGGAGGCTGAGGCAGGAAGAATGTGAGTTTGAGGCTAGCCTGGACTACATAGCAGGACAGTCTCAAAACAAACAGGTGAATGTGTTTCCTCTTAATACAGCCGCAAAGCTGGAGAGGTCTGCCTCTAAGAGGTAGGGTCCTATCCCCCAACATCCCTCAGAGCTGCCATTACCCATGGCCAGACATCACAGCATTCTCCTCACAGGGTCCATGCCCGGCTTCCATAGTCCTCCACACTTCTCCTGGTAACCAGCGATTCATCTTAAAGTGCAGCTGATGCCCTGGAGATACAGCTCAATGGGGTAGTAGCCAGTCTGGAAAATAAAAGAAAAGTTAAAAAAAAAAACAGAAATTGAACCCCAAAGTCTCCACGGTTCCCACCCTCCTTAGAGTAAAATCTAATTCCTCCCTGGCCTGTGAGATATGGTGGCCTTGCCACATACCCTTCCTGCTTGGAGAGCTCCACCCCTCCAAGCACACCCCAACCTCAGGACCTTTGCACTTGCTGCTTCCGAGACCTGCCATACTCTACCTTCAGAGAGCCAGTTGTGTCGCTCAGAAACCTGGGCTAATGTCACCTAAGAGAGGCCTTCCCCAGCTGTCCTGTCTCCAGAGCCGTGCCCAGCTGTCCCCTACAGCATCCTCTGTACCACTGCCCTCACACTTGTCCCTAACTCCGCCATGTCAGTTTCCTGTTCACTAGTTTGTTGTCTGTGTCTGCTTTTCATCTCCAGTTGAGCTCCAGAGGACCTCAACTGGCCTGTCCTATTCATGGTTTTAGAAAAATAACATAAATGTTATGTTAGCAGGGAATGGGGCTCAGTTGGAAGATTGCTTACCCAGCATGCACAGAGTCCTGGGTTCCACATAAATTCTGTGTGGTGTTGCATGCTTTTAATTGGCAGCACTTGGGAGGTGGAGGCAGGAGGATCAGAAGATCAAGGGTATCCTCAGCTACATGGCTGAGCTGGAGGCTAGCCTGGGATATAGGAGAATCTGTCTTTTTTTTAAAAAAAAAAAGTGTAAACTTGAATGAACAGATGAATGAATGAATGACCAGATAAACCCACTAGAAAGAGGAGAAAAGGAAGGAAGGAGGGACGAGAAAGAGAAAGAATGGAGCTATAAGCCAATCATAACACAAGGAGTATGAAGCCCGGTTATTTTTCTGGATTATTTGAGCCATGTCATACATCTTCATTGTTGGGACTTAACACCCAGTGACAATACAGTTTTATCTCATGTCAAGCTCTTTGGGGCTGGGATGCCATCCAGAGGCTGCTGAGTGTTTCCCATTGCCACAGGTTTCCCCATCCTTCCAGCACTCTGCAGGAGGGGTAGAGAGTTTGCTGGGGCTGGGGATGGGAATGACAGATGAAGTGCAGTGGTGTGCAGGGGTCATGGATCAGCTCAGTTTCCTAACCCCAGGCCAACACTACCCACCACCCACATTGCCCCACACTGCTCCACAGCTCTGCCATGCTGTTTCCATTAGTCTTGTGATTTTCCTTAGTGGACTCCCCATTCTGCTGGTCCTTAGAGCCCAGGACTAGAACACCATGTGAGCTCTGACCAAGCAGCATGGCAGACAGGCCAGAGAGAAGCTGAGGACCCAAGCAGTTTCACTCGGGGCTGGCAGGCAGGGTGGGGATGTGAAGACTCCTGTCTTCCCTTCTTTTGGCTACAGGATGGGATGCATGAAGTCCAAGTTCCTTCGAGATGGAAGCAAGGTCTCGAAAACAGAACCGAGTGGCAATCAGAAGGGTCCTGTGAATGTGCCAGATCCCACGCCTTCCAGCAAGCTGGTGAGTAGGGCACCCCAGGGAGCTATCCAGCACTTGCCATAGGGCCTCCAAACCCTTTCCTGACCTGGCCCAGTGAAGTCAACTTGGGTGAGATGGAACCCGTGAGCCATTCCCAGGATGCTTCCCTAGGCATGGAAGCTGCTTCTTATGTGGCAACCAGGGCCTGGCCCTGGTCTCCGCCTCTCAATCAAGTCAGGTGTAGACCTTGAACCTGGACCCTGTCCACAGCAGTACAAGCAGACCCGTGACAACAGCAGCAGCGTGGCTGTCCATCTGCCTGACAAAGGTGTAACAGCAATCCCAGCAAGGGGAGCAGCAGCAGCAATGTTAGGGGCTGAGGCATGGCTCAGTGGATAAAGTACTGTTGCTCAAGAGTGAGGACCAGAGCTTGGATCCCCAGTAGCATCTACGATCTCCGCGCTCAGAGGCAGAGACACGGGCTCTCCAAGAGTAAGCTGGCTAGATAGACTTCCCAATGAGAGACAGCCTCCATCAATATATAAGATGGAGAGCGAGGGAGGAAGACATCAGCTTCAAGATGGAGAGTGAGGGAGGAAGACATCAGCTTCAGGGGCTCCATGCATGTGTGCACCCAGGTACACACATACCTGTACACAGATGTGCCTCTACATACACATGAACACACATAAATGGACATCACACACATGCGAAACAAAAATAAAACCCCTGCCGTAGTGGCTATTTTAGTTACTTTCCCCTTACTGTGATGAAACACCACAACCAAGGTGACTTTTAGAAAGGGTTTATTTGGACTCATGGTTCTCGAGGGTTAGAGTCCATGATGGTGGAGCAGAGGCAGCAGGCGGCAGGCATGGCGGCTGGAACAGCAGCTGAGCGCTCACATCTTGAGCCATAGAGAAGGAATCAGAAATGGTATGAGCCTTTTAACTCTCAAAACCTACCCCACTGACATACTCCCTCCAGCAAGGCCACACCTCCTCAGCCTCCCAAACAGTGCCATCAGTTGGAGGCCGAGTGTTCAAATGCATGCGCCTGTGTAGACCCCCACAGTCGCTGTAGGAGCATCATTGAGAATAGTCAATAAAATGAAGGTATAATACAGGAAATGGGAGGCGGCTCAGTCCATTCGGTGCTTCCCACACAAGCGCAAGAACCCGGGAGTTGCATCTCTAGAACTCACGTTTAAAGACAGAAAGAAGAGAAAAGAAGCCAGATGTGGTGGTACATGCTTATAACCCCAGCACTGAGGAGGCAGAGGCATGCCGATTCCTGGGGCTTGCTGGCCAGACAGCCTCATCTAATCAGAGAATGCTCTGCCAGGGAGAGATCTTGCTCCAACAAAACAGAACAAGTGCATGGCTCCGGAGGAAGAATGACCTAACAAAGACCACGTGGTCAGCAAGAGCACAAAATCAAGAGCTGCTGAGGCAGAGGTGAACACTCACACTGGGTGCTGCGGTTGAGGTGGTGCTAGGGCAACAGGGGTCCCACACAGCCACTGTGATGGTCCCCATAGGCTCATGCCTCTCAGAGATCAACGCCAGGGATGACAGGAGCTACGGTCATGGCTGCAGTCACTGCAGCACAGGAGGTGTGATTGTTGTCCTCTTCTCTAGACACCCACTCTGTTCTGGGCACAAGGAGCAGGTGTGTGTCCCTGAGAATCTTCATCCTAGCCTGGGATGAAGCAGGAGGATGCTGCTCACCACCAGGGTGACTCAGGTCCAAAGAACTTGAGTGGTCCTGGGGTGAGGAGATCAAGCATCTGGGAAGCCATCAAGTTTGGGGCCTTTCAGCCTCCAAACCTGGAGCTCTATCTGCTTTGAGGCCCTTGGGTCCTTCCCTTCATTTGCTAGTGGTGAGGGAGCTCATTCTCAGTGTTTCCCAGAGTGCATCCCTTCATCTGCTGGTCCCTTAGGAAGCTCTTCCTGAGTCAGTGAGGTGGGTCTGGGGAAAAGGCCCTTGCATTGCAAGCCTGGCAGCCTGAGTTAAAGCCCCACAGAAGTGAAGGAGAGAAGTGACGTCACAGAGATAGCTACATGCACACCATGACAGGGGCATCCACACTCACACACCATGCACTCGCAGAACACACACAATAATATTTTAAGTTCTTCTTCAGCCGGGCGGTGGTGATGCACACCTTTAATCCCAGCATCCTGGAGGCAGAGGCAGGTGGATCTCTGAGTTCGAGCCCAGCCTGGTCTACAGAGTGAGTTCCAGGACAGCCAGGGCTACACCGAGAAACCCTGTCTCAAAAAAAAAAAAAAAAAGTTCTTCCTTATTGAAGGGAGGTCAGTTACACATAATCCTCCCCCTTTATCCCAAGCCTGCCCCAAATGCATACAGTCCCTTCACCCAGTGACAGCCCACTGTGAAGGCAAAAGCTTGCCCCAGGTCCACCCCTCTGAGCCTTCTCAGGATGTGAGCCCTAGACTTCTGTCCTACGTGTCCTTCTCCAAGTGTGAGGCTCAGAATAGGACTATTCCTGAGAAGAGGAAATAATGCAATGGCCGCCCCCCTCCCTTTTTGACCTCTGTTAACACAGCCTGTGGTTACATAAATGTCTCACACTGGTGACATCCTGAGTTGGTTCCATCCCTGGGTATTTTCCTCACTTGCAAAGCCCTGCTACTGGAGGACAGCTTTGGGTTGTCCTTCCTGAGAAGGGGTGAAGTTGTCAGAGCTCACGTTGTTCCCTCCTCCTCGGTGCTGACCCAGAGATGGAGGTAAGTAAGAGAATGTTTCTAGGAGAAGGTGTTCCCAGGCCAAATCTGTTTGAGAAACCATGGATGACACAGGCACCTTCCTTAAGGACATCTCGGAGCCTTTAAGAATCTTTCAAAACAAACATCAATTATCCCTCAGTGCTTCCTCAAACGAATGTGTAAGGGCATGTGTGACAGGAGGCACACTCTTACTGAAGATAAAAAGTCATGAATTACGGAGCTGGGCTAGTAACACATCTCCTAAAAGCACCAATCATTATCAGTTTGATATGGACATTTAAAAACACTTTTCCATGCATTTACCAATCCAGTACCAAGTACATGTCCACGGGAAATATGTATCCGTGTTTGATATAAATATATAATGATTTGCTTGTTTGTATGCTCACTTTTGAAGACAGGGTCTCACTCTGTAGTTCAGGCTGCTTGGCACCCAGTGTTGGCTTTATATGTGTGCACCACCATGCCCAGCTTCAATAATGTAATGTCCAGCAGATGTCTTAGTTAGGGTTTCTGTTGCTGGGAAGAGACGCCATGACCATGGCAACTCTTATAAAGGAAAAACATTTCACTGGGGGTATCTTACATTTTCAGAGGTTTAGTCCATTATCATCATGGTGCAGTATGGTGGTGTGCAGGCAGACATGGTGCTGGAGAAGGAGCTGAGTGTCCTACATCTTGACTTGCAGGCAACAGGAAGTGGTCTGAGACACTGGGTGTAGCTTGAGCACATGAGCTCTCAAAGCTTGTCTCCTCGGTAACACTTCCTCCAACAAGACCACACGTACTACAATAAGGCCACACCTCCTAATAGTGCCACTCCCTTTGGGGGCCATTTTCTGTCAAACCACCATAGCGGAAGAAGCTGTTTTCACTTAGCAATGCCTGTGAAGTCCTCTAAGTGATACTTAGAGCCCCATGGCCCTGGTGACCATGCCTCTTTCACTGGGCTCTCAGATTGCTGCACAAACATGATGAAGTCTGTTCACGAGAAACCTGGTACCCAAGGTACCTTCAGATATCAATAAAACACACTGATGTGGACCAGTTCTCTCCCTTTGTGGGAGGAGCAATCCAGCCTTTTCCAGTATTTCAAGACAAAGGCCCAGGTCACAAGCTAAGAGATCTCCATCCTTGAGCAAAGTCTGCTCCTTATTATGCCACGTGACTCCACCTAGGCCTGTAATCCTCTCCTACCAGGACCCAGGGCCAGAGCAAGGTGTCCTTAGATATCCTTTCAATACAGGCTCCTCATGCTTTAGACCCATGTCCTTTTCCTGTTTCTTCCTGCAGGGGCCAAGCAACAACAACAGCATGCCCCCAGGGTTTGTGGAGGGTGAGTATCTGGAGGCAGGGGTCACGGGCATCGTGTACCATCTATTAGCTTAGGTTCTGAGTTGTATGTAGCTGGTGGGGAAAAGTCAAAAACATCTGTATTAGTTTGGTTTTGTTTGTTTGGTTTAAGGGTTTTGTTTTTGTTTTTGGTGATGCTGTGATAAAACACTATGACCAAAAGCACCTTGGGGGAGGAAAGGGTTTATTTCATCTTACAACTTGCAGGTCACAGTCGATCACTGAGAGAAGTCAGAGCAAAAACTCGGCAGGAAGCTAGAAACAGGAACTGAAGCAGAGATCACCCAGAAAACAGTGCTTATTGGCTTGCTCAACCTGCTTTCTTATATATTTCTTATATATACCTAAAACCAGCTGTCCAAGGGAAACACAGCCCTCAGGGGGCTGGACCCTCCCACAGCAACCATCAATCAAGAAAAAAAAAATGCCCTACAGCCTTGCCCACAGGTCAATCTGATTTGGGCAATTCTTTATTTGAAGTTCCCTTTTCCCAAGTGACTCCGGTTTGGGTCAAGTTGGTGAAAACTAACCAGCACTCCATCCTTGAGTATCCTCTGAATTACTCCTGAGTCCCTTGCCGGAGCTCTTGTGTTTCGAGAACGTCACCCAGTGATGTGGGCAAAGTCCTATGGGCTTTAACCAGCATCACACCCAGCACTGGAGGCTGCTCGCTCGGTCATCTATGAGACAGGCAAAGGAGTGGGTCCAGAGTGGGGTGCTGGGGGCCGGCATGGGGTCTCATCCTGGCATCTCCTTCCCTGGCAGGCTCTGAGGACATCGTTGTGGTTGCACTTTATGACTACGAGGCCATTCACCGTGAAGACCTCAGCTTCCAGAAGGGAGACCAGATGGTGGTCCTGGAGGAGTGAGTTCTAGCCTGGTCCTAAGACACACCCACCTGCTGGGTTTAGCTACACTCTTGTTCTGCATCATTAAAGAACCCGAGAGCCTGTCTAACTCTGTCAGTAAATGACAGATGAGAACTTGAGTGCATACCACAGAGGAGGAGGACTTTGCTACCTCTTGGGTAACAGAAACGGTGACAGGAACTGTCCCCTTCCAGGCAGGCTCTCTGCAGAGCCTTCCTAAGTAAGGCTCCTGTGACTGGGCTCCAGGTGTCCCTGCAGGCCTGGCCCCTTCTGGAGGCTTTGCACTCAGACATCCCTGGGTCTCTGAGTTCCCTACCTGGGATGGTCACAGCTTTCAGCATCGGGCTGCTACAAGAGTTCAGATTATACTGAGATCCCAGAGTGGGACCTGGCCATGCACAGTCAAACCCTGAGCCCACAGCCTTCTCCTCTGGACCCCTGCTGAACCAATCAATGTGAGTGCTTCCTGGACACAGGTCCTGGATTGGGTAAGGGTCGTCCAGCCAAGGATAAAAGTCCAGGAAGGAGAAGGGATCCAAAGACCCGGGATGTAGTCTGTGACTCAGGGACAGACTTCACCCCAAATTCCTGTGGAGACTATCAGCTCCTCTACCCTAGTCCAGGAACATGCTGGGTGTCCTGGCTTCCTGAGTGTGGGGAGGGGGAGCTTTCTAGGCCTAAGTGGGGGCCACAAGGGACTGAAGGGTTCCTGCACCCACTGACCCTTCTTTCCCTCCTTTCCCTTAGGTCTGGGGAGTGGTGGAGGGCACGATCCTTGGCTACCCGTAAAGAAGGCTACATCCCAAGCAACTATGTGGCTCGTGTTAACTCTTTAGAGACGGAGGAGTAAGTGTTCCATCCCTGTCTTCCAGAAAGCGGCCTGAGCAAGACTGGCCTGCTCCCACCTCAGCACCGTTACACATACTCTTTCCCCTGCCGGCACCCTCCCCCTGGGGCTCTTCGCTTGGCTGCTTCTCCCCTTGCTTCAGGCTTCAGAGGCCTGTCCCAACACCCTGTCCAAGATGGCTCCCAGGAAGTCTGTTTCTACTTCCTTCTGAACATATCCCACTGGCAAAAAGGAACATTGGGTTTTTTGGTCATCCGTACATGCACTATCTGTCTCCCTCTTGAGTATGAGCTCTCACACCCGGGCTCTGGAGCTAGACAGTCTGGGTTCCAATCCTGTCTCTTCCACTTCCAAGCTGCGTGACTCCAGACAAGCTACTTGTCCTCTTGGTTCTCCAGTTTGATCACTATAAAATAAGAATAATAAAGATGACAATTACATAGAGCTAGGTCTCTAGGTAAGCTGGGACTGGAGGCTCAGTGGTTAAGAACACTGGCTGCCTTTCCAGAAAACTGAAGTTTAGTTCCCAACACAGGGGTTTACAACTGCCTGTAACTCCAGCTCCAGGGGATCTGACATCCTTCTGGCCTCCATGGACACCAGCTCACACACACACACACACACACACACACACACACACACACACACACACGAGGTGGGGGGAGAGAGGAGAAAGAATTTATTTTTTTAAAGAAAATGAGCCGGGCTTCATGGCCCACTTCTTTAATCCCAACACTTGGGAAGCAGAGGCAGGTGGATCTCTGTGCGTTTGAGGCCAGAGTGTGTGTGTGTGGGGGGGGGGGGAGGTTGATGGATGCTAACTGTCTTTCTCCTTTGTTGATAACTGAAGAAACAGAGAATAGAATGACAGTCACCCAGCAGGGTTGAGGCAAGCTGACATCTTCTCAGGGCTCCCTGCCCATTGTGGTGGCAAACTGTTCCTTATCCTAGTGAGAGTGAGAATTGCCTGAGCCTTTACAACAGGAACTTTTCCACCTGTACCCGAAATAGCAGGGGGAAGAAAAAAAAGGAAGGAAGAGAAAAAGGAAGGGTGGGAGGGAGGGAGGGAGGGAAGGGGGGAAGAAGGGAGGGAGAAAAAGAAGGAGGGGAGGGAGAGAGGAAGGAAGGAGAGAGAGAGAGACAGAGACAGAGAGAGACAGAGAGAGAGAGAGACAGAGAGAGAGAGAGAATAACTGTTTCCCACCAGCCCACCCCCACCCCCAAAAGTAAGAAAAATGATGAAATTGCTTGGCCCTTGACTTCTGGGTGGGCTCTTCAAGGTATGGCCTGGGCATCATATGAGCAGGACAGGCCGGTCCATCTTGAGGCTCACACTGTACTCATTAATTTCTGGCAGGTGGTTCTTCAAGGGTATCAGCCGGAAGGATGCAGAGCGCCACCTCCTGGCTCCCGGCAATGTGCTAGGCTCCTTCATGATCAGGGACAGTGAGACCACCAAAGGTGATGCCAGCCCTCCCTGCCTGCCTGTGCCCCGTGCTGCCACCTCCGACCCCTAGGGACATTCTCTGCGGAGGGCCGAGCAGCCCTGTCAAGTGGCCGCGCTGCCAGGTTTTCTCCTGTCCTTTGCTGCTCTGAGCGATGGGAGGGCGAAGGGTCTTTGCTGGGTGGCTGTCCTCAGTCCTGGTAGATGCAGGCTGAAGTCACCGGAAGTGGTTTGAGCTCTGACAGTAAACATCCTGCTGACACTTGGTCCCCAACTTTGATGAAGTTCCTGGTTTAATTTTTTAAATAGCTAGCCTACTGTGTCCTGCCCACAAGTCTCGTTCCTCCCTGGTGAGGAAGCAGTGTGGGGTGAGGTGAGGCTAGACCCAAAACAACCTCTGGGACTCACTTAAAGTTCTGTCTTGGTGGGAGCAGCGAGATGGCTTAGCCAGATGCCTGATGTCGAGTTTGACAGCCTGACTTTGATCCTCAGGATCTACATGGTAAAAAGAAGAACCAACTCCTGAGAGTTGTCCTCTGACCTCTACGAGCATGACATGGCCTGCATGTGCTCTATCCCATAAAGACATAGTGGGGGGAAGCTCTTGGGGGCATGCGGACAGGAAGATGTCATGGATGGGTAGATATCAGGAGTCTTGTCCTGAAATTTCTGTACTAAAAAGGTGGCATCTTTAGTGGGTGACCAGAATTTCAAGAAAAGAAAAAGAAAAAATTACCTCAAACCACAGAGAGTGGTTCCAACTAGCACCACCCAGATGAGTTCCCCAGAGCAGCACACAGGCGCTATGTGAGTTCAGACTTCACGTGTCCAGCGAGCCTTGGGCTGTCACTTGCTTTCAAAGTCACTTGAATAGGTCAGCCAGTTGTATAAGGTGTGGCCTGGTTGGGACTGTGAGGCACATAGGTTTGGAGACAGTGAAGGCATCTGTGTGTCTGGGATCAGTTCTTCCATCCACGTCTGAGGTCAGCAAGCATTTACGCTGCAGGGAGGCGCAGCTCCTTGCCTCCAGCTGTGCCAATGATAGTTTAGCGATTGGGCTGTCCAGTTCTGCAGGGAAGCAGAGAAATCAATGGCACCATGGCAGACCCGTGGATAAGGAAGGGGGCGGGAGGGGGGCTTGGCTAGCTTCCATAGCCCTCTGGGGAAGGGGGGATGCTGGAGATCAAATAGATTTACAATGAGGCCCCGAGCATTGGCAGCTTCCCAGATCCTGCATACTCTATCTAGCAACAGCTACTCCGGGCCGCCCCCTTGACTGGGACAGAGTGGCTAAGAAGGGGCCCTGGAGCCAACTGGCCAGGTTTGGAACCCAAATGTGCCACTGACCAGCTATGTGACTCCAAGTAAGTTATGTTGACACTTCAGTTTCCTCACCTATATAAAATGAGGCTGATAATAACCTCAGGAGGCTATTCACTATCATGAGTAATATAACCCATGTCATTTTAATTCATTAAAATGCATACTATTCCCATTCATTCATCGTGTAATTTTAACTTACTGAAATGTGTACTATTCCTATTCATTTGCTGTTCACTTGACCAGCATACTTAGAACAGTGCTTGGCATGTACAGTCAGCTGTCATTCAGCAATTTAAATCTCCCCTGAAGCCTATGACACTGTGCTATTAAAAAGAAAAAGAATAGCCGGGCGTTGGTGGCGCACGCCTTTAATCCCAGCACTTGGGAGGCAGAGCCAGGTGGATCTCTGTGAGTTCGAGGCCAGCCTGGGCTACCAA